ATAGGATATTACTTTACGGATCTGCTAAAATAAATAGTTTTCAAATTTTCCATACAAAACTTTTGAAAAATTTACAAATGAAATTTTTTTCAATGTTTTCTGAAAGAAACGTTTTTCCCAAACCCAGTCATCATAATCGAGTACCATTTGGCTGCACATCGTTCTGTTTGAACCTAAACACATATAAAACTGCGCTGCTGTTGTGCCTCTGCTCATTTACGCTTCGGATGGCCTGGCATTGGGTCCTGCTAGCAGGAGCAAGTCAGTGGTTAATGTGGTGTTTACATCTATGCGGATTTGCTAACGCTAGTGTACTAGCACTGTGTAACAAGTAGCCAGCATAATGTAAGCAGGGCATCATAGTCTACCAGCATGTTAGTACACTAGCGCTAGCAAATAAGCACAGATGTAAACACCGCTAGATGGTGATCACCTTGACAACCCACGATGGGGTCGAAGGGGACTGGCTTCAACTAGATTGAAACGCGGAAATTATTTGAACAACCCCCCCCCCCCCAATTACAATTAAGTAAAATTAATTCCATTAATGTTTTACCCGCTTCTGCCCAGATAGCGAAAACATTCAAATTAGAGATAAAAAATTCGGTCACGATGATGATTGTGATTTATCAACAACTGACTGTAAAACATATCTGGTACCTCTATATATGCAATTCGATTAACATCCGAAGTCCATCCTTTTTTACATATTCTGCACAAAATATACTTTCTGCCCCGCCCCATTCATAAAAAAACGGCCGGAAATCCTGTCAGGGGCGGAGCTTAGAATGTAGTTTTTGAGCAAAATATGTAAAACAGGATGGACTTCGGATGTTAATCTAATTGCATATAACAGGTACCAGATATGTTTTACAGCTAGTTGAATGCGAAGGATCGTCAAGCAGACGGTTCTTCGACCTACAAGACTGCTGCAGAGAGAGTTCGGTGTTATCAAGCCTTCGGTATGTTTACAATTTCCTACGCGCGCATCATCATAATTTTCTGTATACTTTCCTAGTCATCTATAGATGAAATAGATCAATTCTCATGTGATTTGAGGCATCGCACAATGGATTTTGATCAAAGTCTAAAACTGGCTACTTCCCTAGGGGTTTCCGGAAACTTACTGGATGTGGCCAGCGTGATCCTAACTATTCCTTATAATTGCCATTGATCAGGTTGTTGAACTTTAATGTAATTAAATGGTTTTGACCATATTCAGAAACTGTCCACTTCTCCGGGGGATCGAAACAAGGCCAGGTGTGGTAAATGTGGCACTAGGCCCCCCTGACTACCATTTAACTAGTTTTTGAATTCTAATGTGATTTGAGGTGTCACATATGATAAGTTTTATTCGTTTGAGGTCGCAATAAGCTTCATGTCTCATATAAACTGCAGCATGTTCCGGTAAAATTTCCGGAACCGGTTGACCGATTCCAAAAATATGTGCTCTATGTGACCTTTCCTTTAGCGGCTGTTGATTGATTTATGATACTCGGTCCTCGGGCTCTTAAGCATACAACTGGTATATAATAGGTCCAACCATGATGCATTTTTAGGTCCAACCATGATGCATTTTTAGGTCCAACCATGATTCAAATTCATTGCTGGATAAAATCGTTCAATAAAATTATATTAGAGAACATAATGGATAATTATTAGAAACTAGAATGGTATACTTTTTCACCAAACACACATTTTTCATGTCCATATATGTATGGGAAAAATCCATTACCCTACACTAGGGCAAATTGAAACGCGTGGGAAGGAAACGGTAGATGTATCTCTTAGCGGAAGTGAATGAATACTGAAATTATTTGTAATATAGTAGTTTGCGGTAGCATTAACTCTCAAAAATAATTACAGTTAATATACATTTTCGCTAAGAGATACACGTAACGTTTCAACTTACCCCGGTGTACCTTAACTATGATGCTTACTATCAAAACATTGAACTTCTTCCCCTACTTCGCTGACATTGAACCAACATTTTGTTCAATATTGAAAGTACCGTCTTCTGAGTCTTTTGATGACTGCCTGTTGCGTTATCATAAAATGAAACCTTCAATCTTCTCTGCTACAGAGGCCTAATTTAAAACTAATGATGGAGCTACTAAAAAAAAATTAACGTATTTTTTGGCAATTGTTTTATCTCACAACATATATGGCGTCTTTTTGAACTCTACTGGGATGCTATTCCAATATATATAACGGCTTGTTTAGGACCCTAATTTTAAATTTCAATAATTTATTAATTCCAGGAAAAATGCTTGAACCAACATTAAACCATAACCGAAACATTGGAATACTTGAAAAATTTAAGATAAAGTATAGTAGTCAAAAATGCATGACATACATCAAATTTGCGTAGTTCTACGTCATACTGCGGTCGTGTCTAGGAAACAACCCTTTAATTTTTTTTTAATTCTGCATGAATTGAGACGAAACTTTCACCACTGAAGCACGTGTGCTTTCAAAACAAATCGCTGTCAAAACATTCCAAAATCGACCACTAGTGGCGCTGCTATAGCATAAATAAAATGTCTGGATTCAAAGTGGATCATATTTTATATGACCTCGTGGGATCGAATCGGTTGAAGATCTTAAAACTTCCCTAAAGCTCAGAACTTTACTGTAGTTCTCGGTTCTTTCCTGAAATTTTTGAATCATCTCTGAATGCTTGGAATATTTCTTAAAGTCCTTTTAACATCTCTGAACATATCTCAGTTGCTCTAAAGTGTTCTTAATTTTTTCTGATTTTTCTAGTCGTCCCTGAATTTCACAGATCTTCAAAGAAGGTCCTGCAATTTTCATAACGGTGTCCTGAAGTTTTCTTATAGAGTAAAGTGAGGCATAAGTTCGGACTTAGTTGAAAACCTGAAAAATTTCTCAAAGCTCCAAACATTTGGAATCAAACTAATTCAATATATTCAAGGTTTACAACAATCTCTTACAGAATTTTGATGAGTTTTCAGTCAACTCGTAGCTAGAACGATTTTTTTTTCGGAAGAGTGTTCATATATTAAAAAAGGAGTCAACGCTAGGAGCTAAAAACTTGTTTTTTAGATGAATTATTCTAAAGTTTTTGTCTGTCAAACAACTGCTCATGGTTTAAAGAAGGAGACAAACTCAAGAGTGAGAAAAGTCGTTCATGTTTTTTTTTAGTTGGATTTTCGATAGCTTTTATCTTCTAAATTATTGCTCATTTTTAAAAAAGAACTCAAAAAGAAGAACTTTAACAAATTATAAATTACTTTAAAACGTCAGTTGAATTGCCATTATAATTTATATTAAATAGCGTCTCAGTTTGGTTTGCCTGCTTGCTTTACTCAGTATATATCGTTTTCTACTTTTTCGCCTTGCCCCTTTGACCTTTTGTCGCTTCGACCTTTTGTCCTACAACCCTTGATATAACTTTAATGATTTCTATCCTTTTACTTTGAAAGAGAAAACATCCCATGGAACATCTCCAAATATCTCAGAAAATCCTGGATCATCATAGAATTTCAAATATTCCATATTGTTCACATACACAGCATTTGTAGCATGTACAAGCATTTACTTCATTTTCATTACTGCCTCTATCTGGTAGTATATGAAGCATCTTTGAAACTTTGAAATGGATTTGTTTTTGTTCTTACGAAAATGGTCCAAAAGTTGTATTTACCAAAGCTGTACTGATCTTAAAGTTCCTTGTTGCATCATACGACTCATTATCTTAATTGGCTTTTAAAAAAAAAATATGGAAAATGTTTGTCTTAGTAGTATTTGGTCAACTGTTATAATAAATTTACTGGTATAAGCTTCCGTTATATTTAATTTACGTTCTACCCATTTGTCCTAACATTGCCAACGCATCTCAATTGATTCACAGCCTGGTTTATCAACGACTAACAGACAAATAAATAAATGTCATATAAACGAAAGAAACAGACCCAAGCACTAGATCCCACAACTCCACCAAGTGAAAAGTATTGAAATTAAAAGAATCAAACATTTCACAACTTATAGTAACAGACATGTGTAAAACAGCTAGCGGAAACCAACTCAATCAGCACAAAAATGCAACTTCATACTTCGAACATCCTACCAACTACTCGAATCCCCGTAGATTTAATAGAAGAATAAACACATAGCAAATAAACCGTTTCACACCCCACCAAACATACTCACTCACCAGCGTATATTTAGATGGATGTTTATAGATATCAAGATATTCCGAGAAAGCACTCTGACTTTTTTACAGTTGGAAAATTGCATAATCCCAAATTTTCGATCAGCTACATACACACACATATAGACCCAAAAAAAAAACCCATCAAAACATCCATTGCAAAAACAAAAAGGAAGAAGGTTGTTATCTATCGCCACTTTGTCATTTCGACAGGTGCCAGAAGAACAATCGATCGTTCGCATAATAGACAAAGAACATCGCATTTGGGATGGGAAACGACAAAACAAGCTATATTTAAAAGACACGCAGCCTAAGAGTATCCTAAGAACAGAGAGATAGAGAGAGAGAAAGAGAATTGAGATTATCATATAGTATTTGTGGACGAATCTTTTTTCCTTTAATACGAAGAATTTTTCCTAAAATATAGATGAAAATACAAACAAACAAACAAACACATACACACATACACGTTCATACATACAGAGAAAAGGCATATGCATTACCAAGTGAGGATGAAACAAAGGAAAGCATTTACGATGTTTGTGGCAAGGAGAGTAAAGGATAGAAGTGTACACAGAGGCAGAGAAAAAAAAATTGTGGAAAAAGTGTTTATTTTATAAAAGTATTATACGGGTATGCCATAAAAATATTACGATTATAATTGATTATTGATTATTATTATGAAAAAGTGAAAACAAAAACTAGGTTCAAATGATCTATATATAAACAATTAAAAGTATATAATGAAAGTGAAAAGATTAATAAATGTATGTTTAATAAAAAAAACAGCATTGTTTTATTCCGCGGTTCGAACAATCATGACAAATTAACTATTTTCCAGTTTTGTTTCCTCCTGCCCGGCAACCGGTTCATCGCTTTTCGTTGCTTTGTCCGTATCGTCCTGCCCAGCACCGCATTCTTCCGGTTCTTCCACTTCCTGAATGGCATCGATATCGCCATTTGCATCATCTCCTGTTTTGTCGAAAGTGGTGGTTTTCAGTGCACGACTCGCTAGGAACTGCAAATAAGGCCAAGCGTTAGAACTCAGGCATTACACTTTGGAACTTAACTTATTAGACCTGCTGTCGCCGAATTTCCGCGGTGGCGAGCTTTTCCTCCAGGTTTTCGATACTGGGAGGGTTGCTGGTATGCTCCTCTAGACGCTTCAGACGCAACGGTGGATGCTTCTTGATAAGACTCTCCGGATTCTCGTCATTCAAGGGAATTTCGAATGCTTCCGAGGGGGCTGATGGGGGTAAAGAAAGCGATAGATTCCGATGCGGATGATGTTAGCGTGGTGATTCAGGAAAATCTTTTGCAATGATTCGGTAAAGTACTGATTTCAGAATTATTTAAAACAAAATGGAGGAATTTAGTTAGAAGTGATGTACTTAGATGCTTATGGACAGCTTTCCGAGCAAAGTCTGAGATCAAATTGAAATCTAAATTTTATGTTGTGATTTCGCTGATAATGATTACTCAGGTTGCTGTCGTTTTGGTCGTTTTAACGGTTCAAATATCAAAATTTAGAGGCAAAAAAATCTTCCTGTGACATCACATTGAAAACTATTTCTGCTATCAGTGAGAGCAAACTGAAAACTGAATTCGATATCAATTTTTCCTGTTGATTACAAAACAAGTATTCAATTTGAAGTAATGCTAAGGCAATGAAAAGAAACCCGCAACAACATATTTTTGAAGACCAAATGTACAGCAAATGAAAACAAAATTTGGTATCAAATTTGACAATTTCGTAAACTGAAATCAAATTATGATTTCAGTTTGATATAATGAGAGAGAGAAGGATTAGTATTTTCCATTTAATTCCACTACTTTATTTGCTTCTCCTTGACAGATACGCGTATTTCGTCTACAATGTGCAGACTTCTTCAGTGTCTTGTACTAATACTCGACTGTACAAGACACTGAAGAAGTCTGCACATTGTAGACGAAATACGCGTATCTGTCAAGGATAAATAAAGTAGTGGAATTAAATGGAAAATACTAATCCTTCTCTCTCTCATTATACAGGTATTCCACTAAGACGCCCACATTCATCAGGATTCAATTTGATGTTGATATCAAAACTTGAGTTCAATTTGCTGTCATTTTGATGCTGGACTTGGCACGGGTTTTAATGGCTGAAGGACCGATTGTACCTGTTCATTTCAACATAAATGTTTGGGATGCACCGGGTCAACCGTGATTACTGTTCGTCATGTTGATTTGAACTTCTGTGCAAATTTTCAGTGAAATCGATGATGATTTAAAGGTGCTTCAAGTTATTTTTATGTTTTTTAGGTAATTTACGGCTTATAATATTTGTATCACGAGACTGAAACAACGAAAACTGCTGTAACAACTTTCATAGCCATGTGTTATCTACCAACTTTGGGACTAGAGGTTGACTATTCAAAGTGATTTTATTGAAGTTTGACATAGTTTCATGCTCGAAGATATCTTTAAAAGTGAATAATTTTAAAGTATTTGTTCTACGAACTTTCCATCTATATGATATAAAAAGCTGTAGTAATGTTCCTTATACTGTTCTAGAAATTTCGTTCCAACATAGTTTTCGTGTTAATTCCATAGATTGAGCATGAGCATGAGCATGAGCATGATTGAGCATGATTGACCGCCCACGGTTGCTACTCTGTTATTGCCAGATCAGCTGTAATTACACAGAGAACCAATAGACGATGCTTGGGACTAGCAATCATCCTCAATGTGTAAAAACTGGTGATCTCATACTAGGCAATACCAGCGCCGGCCGCACCCGAACGCAGGTCAAGAAAGGAATGGGTAGGAATGTGTTGACCTTACACTCGCTTTAATGGAAGCCGAGAACACCTCTGCACTTCCACGAAGAATCACTGGGTAATAGGGTTCGGTTTGCAGCAGGGTTCGTTTTGGTAAACGGTATGCTGAATTGATGGCCTAACGATATGGAGAGGTTACTGTATAAATTTATTATTATTATTATCTCTATTTAGGAGATTTTATGACTGTATAAATAAATAAAAAGGAATGATCACCCAAATAACCAATTGGAGCTGCACCAGCAGCAACAGGCCTCTTCGTAGACATTCTTCGACCCATCACAGGTGTCTCCTTTTTCTTTACGTGATAATTTTAATTGTAGACGGTCTGCTTGACATCAACACGAACCTGTAAGGGCTATGGTAGAAGCTGCATGAAATATGAGCATGAGCATGATTGACCTCTGTTATTGCCAGATCAGTGGTAATTACACAGAGAACCAACATATGATGCATGGTACCATTCTCAATGTGTAAAAACTGGGTAGTTGATGTGATGTGAAAACTCGTGTTGTATGAAGCCGAGAAATCCTCTACTCTTCCACGAGAAATCACTGAGATGCTGAATATAAGGGTTGGGTTCGTTTTGGTAGACGATACGCTGCATAAAGAGAGTTTGCTCATGTTAAGCTAAATTTATGGATTTGCCTCAACGAAAGCTGAAAACACCATTATAATATAAATACAAAGATCCATCATCAAAGAGCTGAAAACTATATTAAACAAATCAAGTAAATAGATTCAACCAGGGCAAAAGCTGAAAATATTGAATCATTACAATATAAATCTAAAGATGTTCTCTCACCAATGAGCTGAAAAGCAAAGATAATCATTATAATATTAATTTAAAAGTGTTACATTATCGATGATTTGAAAGTACATTTTCATACAGCTGTGTAAATTCAATAGATCGAGAGGTACAAATCAGAAAAGAGGGCTTTTTTTCTAAAATTTACAAGACAACAGAGCCAATCAAAGTTTCATTTAGATTGACAAAACATAGTTGACTTGCTTTTCAATGACGACCGAAGACTGTTTCATTGTAAGACGATTTTTTTTAGAAATATGAATCCTCAGTACGCGTATCACTCGAGCCATCCAAAATAGAAGATGTGGAAAGGGCTACAGTCCCTGGAGTTTGTGTGGTAAGACCGCATTTTGATAGAAATTGTTTACCATCCCTAAGGCGAGTTAAAGCAAGTAATTCAGAACTGAGCTGTTCACCATACAATAGGTCATGCCGGCAGCAACCTTCTATCTAGTAGGGATGTCGTCTTTACCCATATGTGGGTGACAGGGTATCTGGGTACCCATTTTGATGTTTGAATTGAAATAACGTCATGTACGTGATGTTTATCGCTATGAAGCTTTCTGACATCTTGTAAAATGCTAACACAAACGATCTGATGAAATTACAACAAATGTGGGTGAAGGAGAGGCTTATCAGGGGCCATGTTAAATTTGTACCCCTTAAACGGAAGGAGAATCTCGTCGTGCCCATCCCGAAGGCAAACGAAAAAAATTAAAGTTTTTTTTTTTTTTTTCCTTTATTAGAGAGATTTTTAGCCTAAGGCTAGTTCATCTCTTGAAAAAAATAAAATTAAAGGGTTTGTCCTAGACACGACCGCAGTATTATTATTTATTATTTATTATTATTTATTCAATACTAATCTGTAACATAAGACATTCGTCTTTTTATAATTGTTACATTTGTTTTTCCACGTAGAATTGGCGTCACGATTACTAATTCAAATTAATATTAATCCATACTGATTTTGTTAAATTATTGACTCATTCATTAATTGACCAAACATTTTTGTTTAGTTAAAGTACTCAATACATCTCCTCCTAAATGCTAATAATGATTTTTCTAATGTTAAATCGTTGGGAAGTAAATTCCATTGAATCACGCCTCTAACGAAAACGGATTTTCCATAACTTGATGTGTTGAAGCGCGGCAGTTTGTACTTCCTCGATTGATTGCTTCTGAAAGACTCCAATTTATTGAACAAATAGCCGGGTTGTTTTGTGGCAGCAAGACTGAACAGAAACAAGCAGCTTCTCATGTGACCGAATTTATCAAAGGGACAACCAATGAGTTGATGTTGTAGGTGTGAAACACTTGAGAATCTATTTAAGTTAAAAACATAGCGTACGCAAGAATTAAGTGCAACTCGTAGTCTAGATAGAGCGAAAGACGAAACTTCGAACAAAAGAAAATCGCATGCAATGAAGTGAGGAAAAAGCAAGCTTTTAAACAATGTAATCTGGCTGTCCACACTAAGGAATGAGCAGGCTAGGTTTAGTGTTTTCAAACCAGCAAATATTTTGCCACACTGTTTTAAGATAAATTTGTCAAATGAGAAATTTTCTTGAATCGTCACTCCAAGGCTAGCAGCATGCTCTTTAAATTCAATATTTTGGTTGTTAAATACCAAAGTGGGTTTCAAAACATAATTTCCTCTACTGTTACTGATAAAAATAGCATGTGTTTTCTTAATATTAATAGACAACATGTTGTTAGAAGACCATTCGTAAACTCTGGCTAGATCTGCATTGATTTTTTTTCCGAGATATCAGAAGCAGAGGTTCCTGAACAATCAAAGTACAATTGGACATCATCGGCAAAAAGATGAATTTTGCAATACTTTAGTACACCGGGCAAGTCATTTATGTATAAGGAAAACAAAATTGGGCCAAGAATAGAACCCTGAGGTACTCCCGAAGAAATAAGAATGAAGGCTGAAAGTATTCCATTATTGCAAACGGCTTGCATTCGACCCTTCAAATAAGACTGAATTAAAGTTGTCGCATGATTAGAGAAATTGAAATTTTGACGAAGTTTTCTGCAATCCAGAATAATCCAGGAGTATCAAAACTACCGGCTTGTTATTATCCAAGACAATACCAATATCGTCAAAAACTTTTAACATCGCAGTTTTCGCACTGTGTTTTGGACGATATCCTGATTGATGGGTATTGAGAAGATTATTGTGATCGACGTATTGACAAATTTGCAGCTTCAACAAACGTTCAAAAACTTTGGATAAAGCGCTTAGAATACTAATCGGACGTAGGTTGTCTATGGCATCACTGGAAGATTTCTTTTTTATGGGAATAATTTTTGACTTTTTCCATCCATCGGGAAATCGGCTGGATAAGATGATGGAATTAAATATGTGAGTAATTGGTTTTATAACTAAAGGGCAAATAGTTTTCAAAAATTTCAATGGAAGCAAATCTAGTCCAACTGCGTTTGATTTTACATGATACATTGCATTAATTACATCGACCTCACTGACGATATCAAAGTAGAATTCATTCTCAGGAATGTGTTCTTCATTTTGACTTTGGAAATTATATTCATTCGAATTACTAGAACAGCTAAAGTTCTTGGCGAAACTTACATTAATTTCATCGGAATTTA